GTCAGCCAGTGCTTGATCCAGCAGATCGTAGGCTCTCCCCGGCCTGAAGAAACCAGTTTTTCCACCAGATTTTTATGGGGGACAGTATCGAATGCTTTTCGAAAATCCAGGTATACTATATCGACAGCCTTTCCCTCGTCCAATAATCTGGTTATCTTGTCATAGGAGGAGATCAAGTTTGTCTGGCAGGACCTGCTTTCCATAAACGCATGCTGACTAGGCCTGATCCCCTGGTTACCCATTATGTGGGTTTTGATGGAATTCAAGATGACCTGCTCCATGACTTTCCCTGGCATCGAGGTTAGACTGACAGGTCTATAGATTCCTAGATCCTCCTTTTTGCCTTTCTTGTAGATGGGTGTTACATTTGCCTTGTACATTTTCTTGTAGATGGGTGTTACATACTGTTCCCTCCAGTCCATTGGGACCTCCCCAGTTAGCCATGACTTCCTGAAAATGATGGAAAGTGATTTGGCGAGCACGTCTCCCAACTTTTTCAGCACTCTTGGGTGTAGCCCATCCAGTCCCATAGACTTGTGTGCATCCAAGCGGCTTAGCAGGTCACTGATCTCTTCCTCTTTGATAGTGATGCTCTCATTCTGCTTCCCCTCCCTGTCTCCTAACTCATGTGGCAGGGTGTCCAGGGAACAGCCAGTTCCACTGCTAAAGACCGACGTGAAGTAGGCGTTGAGCACCTCAGCCTTTTCCTCATCCTTTATGACTATGTTTCCCTCTGCGTCCAATAAAGGAGGGAGATTTTCCCTAATCCTCCTTTTCTGGTTGATGAATTTATAGAAATATTTTTTATTATCCTTAACAGCTGCAGCTAGGTTGAGCTCTAGCTGTGCTTTGGCTCTCCTTATTTGCTCCCTACATAGCTTTGCTACATCTTTATAGCCTTCATGAGAGGCCTGCCCCCTCTTCCAAAGGTTATAGACTCTCTTTTTGGTTTTGAGACCCAGCAAGAGATCCCTGTTAAGCCAGGCTGGTCTCCTACCCCACCTACTTGTTTTTCGGCACATGGGAACAGCCTGCTCCTGTGCCTTTAAGACTTCTTTTTTGAAGTACGTCCATCCTTCATGGGCTCCTGTATCCTTCAGGGCATCCTCCCAAGGGATTTTGTTTAGCAGTCTTCTGAACAGATTCAAGTTTGCCCTCCGGAAGTCTAAGGTGGCAGTTTTGGTAACCCTTCTCCTTGTTTCTCCAAGGATAGAGAACTCAATCATCTCATGATCGCTGTGCCCTAGACGGCCTCCAACCTTTACTTCCCCCACAAGTTCTTCCCTGTTCACAAGGAGCAGGTCTAGGAGGGCACTTTCCCTGGTCAGCTCACCTATCAGCTGCATGAGGAAGTTATCCTCCACACATTCCAGGAACCTTCTGGATCGTTCCCTGTCAGTTGTGTTGTATTCCCAGCAGATATCGGGGAGGTTAAAGTCCTGTCTGAGTGCCCATTTCCATTGTCCTCTCAAAGGGCCCTAGGGTGAGGAAGACTTGCATTTGGACTTAAGTATGAACCCTATGCATGCAGGGAAATGTCACACTCACCTGAAGGTCATCCACCTCTAGCTGGGGAAACGTCAAAATTCTGGGAGAGGACGGCTTCTACAGCAAGACAGGTGAATAAGGCCTAAATGGCACTACCACTCACCTCTCCATTCTTTGTACTTCCCTCCTGAGTGTCTCTCCTGCATTCTGAACAAAGCAGGAGCTCCAGGACATTGCTGTGCCACAGCTCAACTGTACCCTCTCTAGCAGTTGCTTGTCCATCTTGAACTGGGGAGCCCAGAAGTGGACACACTCTTCCAGATGGGGCTTCACAAGGGCAGAGTAGAGGGGCAGGATAACTTCCCTCAACCTGCTGGTCACACTCTTTCTGATGCACCCCAGGATGCCATTGGCCTTCTTGGTCACAAGGGCACGTTGCTAGCTCATGGTCATCCTGTTGTCCATCAGGACTCCCAGGTCTTTCTCCTCAGAGCTGCTCTCCAGCAGGGCAGCCCCCAACCTGTACAGATGGATGGGGTTATTCCTCCCCAGGTGCAGCACCCTACACTTG